TACCTGAGATGATTGATTGATGTGTTTCCGTTTGTGGCTGATCTTTTGACAATGAGATAGCGATGGAGAGACAACTGAACTACCAAGAGCATGGATGAGCCGTCGCATATCGTTGGAAAACTGCCTATAAGTTTGGTTAATGGTGTCTTAACAGGTAAAACTCGAGAACGGAAAATAACCGAATTAACTCAATGGACCCGTTTATCCTTGACTTTTAATAATCACAGTTTGTGGCAACAAGGATATGAGCCTCTTCAAATTACCTGCGTGCATTCGGTACCGCTTGAAAAGATGGTTAAGTTTGCTTGGTTTTCAGTATATGGTCTAGCAACCCTAATATACTTTTTCGGAGTATCGTTTCTGACTCTGTTGTACTCATCGTATGGCGCAGCTATTTTTCCCTGAATTGTATAGTCACACTTCTGTGGTACCTACTTCGTGCAGGGTTCAACTCTGAGCTAACAGATTTCTCGGTGCTACGCTATTTCGTTCATTGCGGGTGGCAACAAATGCTCGCTTCTCTCAAGCCTTATGAAACCATTATTCTAGCACGATGTTTGGTATTGTAAAAGGAGACGACTGTTCAGGCGTTAAACGAAAGCATTATAAATCTAGTTTTATGGACAAATTTTGCTACCTTTAAACAACATCTTCCGTTTGTTCTGTTCCGCTTCTGTAAAATTTTAGACGACTCAAAATGTAAATACTTATGACCATAATCAGCGTCTTAATAACGCGATAATTCAAAAATGTCCAAAGGTTTTTCAGAATTGCTGCATCTGCTGCAGGTAGGTCAAATTCTCATGCAATAAGTGTGAAGAAGGTGATGACCAAACAAAAATGCAAAAATAGATTATTTCATACCGTCCGGGAAATTTTACTGTCGTATGTAAGTGATTACTTTCTCCTTTAGCGGCCCCAAGCAATCACTGCATAAGATATTGTGGCAGATACGAAGCTCACGTAAGTGAACACAGAAATATGCAGATTGTCGATTGCTGCGACTTCAAGCAGCATAAAGATTGTTTTGAATTCAGATGTATTTCTCACATCAGAACTGATTTAGGTACTTCTGAAGTGCTAAAATATGTATCATATAAGCGCACTGATTGTCGATGAACTTTTAAAATATTACATTATATTACATGAACAGAAGATGATCGAAAATTAATGGCGCAGGTGCATGGCTCTTCAAAATGGGACATTCTTTTGGAATGATATCTCAGGAACTTACAAATAAGGCATTCGTAGGGAATGTTATTTGAAGCACTAACAAATTGCGTTGAAAACCCATCAGATATTATTCCTACTACTAATGACGTTATATCACTTTGTGGAAGACGTGTACTAGGCACATCAAAACCTCCTGATTTCCGAGAAAACTTACTCTAACGAATATTTATATTTTACGCAACAAGTTTTGAGGATCATAGGAATAGACTTATCGAAAATTGATGAAACAGTGGGAGGCAAATTAGAAAAGTGGTATGCAATATTCGCAAGAAATATATTTGATCTTTCGTTTGCACGTCATTAATTACTGCTGTATAACATTCATGATTATTAAGTGCTAAATGCTTTTCTGTTTTCTCAGCATTTGAAGGTGACTGATCAGTATGGAAGTATCAGTGGTTGACACATAGATTAGTTCATACAGAAATGTATTGCGAGCTGCAACATGATTTAAGGAAATGCGATGTGCTTGCAATGAAGGAGGACAACAGTAGTCAGTAGCAAGAGGAAACTATCAAACTTCTATCATTCTGCTTGAGTGGAAGTCCTGGCAAAGTAAAATCTCTAACCCTGAACAATTCATTGAAATCTATCAGCAAAGACGCTAACGCTTTCTTTTATAACTGATATAGATCTCGTTTCGAATTGGCCATATATGGGAAACAGCGAGACGTACGTCCTACCAACTTAAGATAAGTACGATGTAACCTTACTTTGCAAACTTTGCGGTTGCAAACAAAACGATGGTTAGGGTGTTTTTCGACCGCTCATTTTCAGAAATAAAAACTGACTTTGTTTTATGTAAACACACCGCGATCTGCTCTTTTTCTGGCGCTGATGCGATTTCGTCCGACAAAATAAAAGCTGGCGGAGGAAAAGCTTTCTCATCGGTGAGGTTT